TAGTGACTAAAAACCACTTACTGTTGGCATCTATTTATCTAGACAGTTAAGAACAGCAATTAAACTGTTCCTGCAAGTCCAACTACACATACAGTAATTAATCAATTCCATTTTAGTCTGAATTAGAGTTAAATGAGGACCAAAGTTAAGCTTTAATTGAGCTTAATTTGATACATTTGATGAATATTCCTAAATGCAGCAATTCTGCATGTCCTCTGCCAAACAAATTGTGCTGGAAATGGGCTGCAGTATTTTCTGTTATTTTAAAAATCTCTGATTCTAACTGAAAATGAATGGAGCTCCACATGGTTGATAAAGATGCTGTCATGGAGCATCTGAACACCATCCCTATGCAGGCTACAGTCACAGTTTGAAACTTCAATAACAGCAGGCTTGTTCTGAAATAGTCTCATGAAGTGCTCTGGCCTATTAAATGTTTTGATTAAATGCCTCTGTGACATTAAATTTAATGCCAAGGTGAACTAGATAGAAAATCACTCATTGTGGTACATAGCTTTGTTTTTATAAACATGATATTCAGAATGGTTATTGATGTAAAAAAAGGAGCTATATGCATAGTAAGTATGCAGGAAGGAGTAGATGGTGCAGTGTTGACTACCTTCTGTCGCTTATCATTTAGAGAGATAAAATGATTAATGAGATTAATTTAATAAAGCATAACCTAATTCTTTAAAAGCTTGAAATGTCACTCATATTTTTCTCCTACTAGAAATGTACAGTAAGTCCAATTACATTCTTCAAGTAAAAGGGGAGCAATAGTTTGGCTAGGGACATTGTGGTCAGAACAGACAAGCATATCACCTCAAAGTAGTTTTCACTTCTTAATAAACAAGCTATCCATTAAGTGACTAAGAAAGAATATACTGTACAGTGTCCTCCGTAAATATTGGGACAGTGAAGTCAAAGTTGCTATGTTTGCTGTGTACACGAGCAATACCTGAGATTTAAGATGAAAAGATTAATTCTGTATGAGGCAAAAGTATGCAGTGTCTGTACATTTCCTTCTGTTTCTAAGTTATTTTACTTCTGGGTATTTCTGTGCTCATATGTTGTATTGTTTTAGAATAATAGCACTTTTTGTGTAATGTCCAAGAAGAAAGTAATTGGATCTACATACTTATATGTTGCACTGTTTTAGAATAATGGCTCTTATTGTATTCACTCTCCCCCCCATATAAGGTGAGTATTGGTTTCCAGGTTTAATTGGCTGCCAGGTCTTTCTTATTGGCGAGGTGTTTCCTGTTGCATTGATTATTCACACGTTAAACAGCTGTGAATGTGTGCTGTTGGATTTAGCCTTTGCTTTTCCCTTTGTTGTCTCCCATTGAAGCCAAAAGGCCTAAACCATAATTTGGAATATCTTGAAAAAGAAAAAAAAGTTAAGATTTTAAGTTAAGTTAAGATTTGGCAACAACCAGGTCGGTTGAGGGAAACAACTGCAGATAAGATAAAAGAGAGAGAGATCACTTTATTTCTTGTATTAGGAATTAGGTATTTTCGCATACGTGCTCTCCATGAGACACACAGACAGGGAGAGAGAAGCTTGGGGTCAGCCATTCATACGGCGCCCCTGGAGCAGTTGTGGTTAAGGGCCTTGCTCAGGGGCCCAATGGAGTAAAATTCCTCTGTCGGCCACTGGATACAAACCAGCAACCTTCTAGCCACAAGCGCAGATCCTTAGCCACAGAGCCACCACACCACCCCCTGTTGAGAGAAAAATGATCAGAGCTGTAAAGAAAAAGTGTAAAAGCAACTGTCACTGAAATCACCAGCAACCTCCGCGGTTCAGGGGTGAAGATATCACAATCTACTGTTTGCAGAAGACTTTGACAGCAGAATTATAAAGGCTACACGTCAAGATGCAAACCTCGCATCAGCACCAAGAACAGAAAGGTCAGATTACAATTTGCTAAAAAGTACAGAGATGAGCCAGTAGAGTTCTGGAACAAAGTGTTATGGGCAGATGAGACAAAGAGAAAACTTCTGCCAAAGTGATGGCAAGCTGAAAGCGTGGAGAAAGGAACAAACTGCAGGTGATCCAGAACCTACAGTAACACTTCATCTGTGAGGTAGTGTCATGGCATGGACATGCACGGCCACTTGAGGAACTGGCTCACTCATCTCTCCTGATGAAGAAATTAATGATTGTGGCAGCAGAATGACTTCAGAAGTGTACAGAAACATCCTGTCTGCCAACGGTACTGTATGTACGAGAAAATGCTTCCAGACCCATGGGCCAGCACTTCATCATGTGCTGGATGAGCAAGACAGAACACACTACTGACTCAACCAAGGAATTCATCAAGGGAAAGAAGTGCAAAGTCGTAGACTGGCCAAGTCAGTCTCCTGATCTAAATCAAGTAAAGCATGCTGTTCTTTTCATCTGAATCCGAATTGCTTGAGTATACAGAACAAAATAGCAATTTTGACTTCACTGTTCCAGTCCTTATGTAGGGCACTCTATATATTCTGTAGGTACCTCAATTTATATCTTCAGATAAACCATGAAAGTGTTTCCTTTCTCCTTTTGATCTTCCTTTCCTTGGCTGTTCCATTGATGGAGTGACAGCATACAGCCCCCCCAGCCTTGGTTTGCTTGGTCAAGTAAACAAAACAGGGGCAACATAACCTCATAGCACATTACCAGAGGACAGTAATGCATTTGTTAAAAACCTTTATACAGTAGGTTAATAAATGTTTCTTCACTTCTGTCTTGTCAGATTGAAATAATTAAGCAATATAAAAGGCCATTAAAAGACACGTTTGTTGATGTAGTTCTTTTATATAAAGCAAAATACAAAAATACTTCTACTGTATATGCCAAATCAGTCAGTTTATTGAAGACAATGCCTAGATTTGTCACTAAGGTTATTATCCAAATTTGACATAAACATTATTTGCTTATTCCCCAAGCCATGAAAATATACACTGAGCTTGGGCTCCTGACAGTTTAGTGAAATGTCCTTTTCAACCTCAGCATATTTCATGAAAGCTCTCTTCTTAATATGGAAGCAGGATGCTCTGTGTCTAACATCATACTTTAAGGGTACAATAAAGATCAGTTATAAAAAACTAACTTTTCTGTGGAATTTATAGTAAAATCAAGACGTTTTGATAAATGTACTGGCCATGCTCTTGTGTTCAAAACTTTTAAGTGTGCATACAGTACATCTGTAAAAATTACTATATAGTGAGCAAAATTAATAGTTTTTGCAAAAAATATTCCATTTCATTATAGTAATTTGGATAGGCTATATTTATTTCTTCTAATCCCATAAATTGTTCCAGTCAAAATGTAGGTCAATTACAATTTTTGTATTACTTTTGTCATGTTCTTTTAAATCTTACACAAAGAACAGAGACAACAAGTATTTTAATAGCTGGAATATCTATCAACAAAAATGCCACAAATTAATTTAAGAGTATAAAAGTAAGTTTTCAGACAGTATTTGAAAGTGCTGACTGACTTGCAAGATCTGCTATCAGCTGGAAAATCATTCTATATCTTCACAGTACCAGAACAGGAGCATTATCTCCCTTTTTTTGAAGCCTCATTACGGGCTTTGAAGTAATGTCTAGTCCAAAGAAGGTAAAGGACATGCAGGTGAATAGGGAGCTAACAATTTGTTGATGAAGCCAGGTATGAAATTGCTCAAGCCACTTAACCTGAAATCCACAGGGAGCCAGTGTAGGGAATTTAAGACAAGTGATACTGTATATGCACATTCATTGTAGTTTTAATTAAGATCCAAGCAGCTAAGTTTGAAATACATGAAAACAGCTTGATTTCTACTTTATTTGGTTTGTTCAAGAATGAAAGTTTTTGCAAACTTCTGTACATTTTTCAGAATTGGATGTTATAATTTTTGCCTAAGGAGCTATGCTAATAGAAACCAGTCAATTATGCAAGATTCATAAGCTTGCTAACGGCTGATTAATTAACCTGTCTGAGTCTACAGTATCTTGCTTTATTCTCCTTTATTGTACAACAGAAACTCACTTAACATTTAATTACAGTTATACTGTATATATGTATGTATAATACAAACATTTAGTCTATACAGTACTACATAATGTTGAGATGTGTTTTTCTAGCCTATGCTAATATCTGAATTTTGCTTCAAAACTAACCTACTCGTTCTGGATCTTACACTGTATCAGTGTATTTGCTGTAATTGTCATATCACATCATACTTGATCATTTTAATAGCTATTGTATTTCATTGAATTACAAACTGATTATGTGTCAAATAAGTGTTTTGTGCTGTATTCAAATATTCATATCTAGGTAACACATTGACAAGTTCGTTGTAGAGTTTAGCACATGCAATTAGGTAAACTAGTGTACTTGATAACTGTTTCTTAGGCACCACTTTTTTGCATTTTATTAAAAATCAGAAGTTGTACAGTAGGAAAAAAATGCACTTCTCCAGACCAGTTTACCTGATTCTGGTTCTGATCATTTCTGACAAACCCATGGCTACCCACATGAAAGTATACAGCATCAAGCAAAAGCAAAATAGATGCAATAATGTGTATGTGAACAAACAACATGAGATATGTCCTTTGACAGAAATGCCTTCCATGCCGAATTATAACATTATTTTAGGTTTATTATTAAAAATCACTTAATGACTGAACAAAAGCTACCTCCGGGTTTAAAGTTGGTGACTGGTTAATTGCTCAAATATGGCTGTTGATTGGTTGAATTTAAGATGTACAGTCATACGAGCTATGTACAGTATTTCTTAGTAAAAATGTAAAACAGTGTAACCAACTTCTTTCTTCTTTAGAAATTTAATTTAACACAGAGGAATGTTTTCTGCCCATTCTGTTAAAAGTAATGGAATGTACGCTTAGAGTCTTATGTTATTTTTGTTTTGTAGTGAAGCAAAAAAAGGAGCATATACATCTGGGATACTTCATAATCAGAGTCAGCCCCATTAGTGTCTAACTTCCTTTTAATAATTGCATTGCAGGAAAATTTCGGGAAAAGGCATCCATTCTTCATAAGATTGCCAAAAAGAAATGCCAAGTAGAAGATGGTGAGAAAGTCAATGGTGTTGCAAATCGTGCTGGTAAGTAGAAATGCTTGTGATGTATTTCATATTGTTTCTTGTGAGATACAACAGAATGAGGTGAATTCCAGAATGAACACTAAGAAGAGTCTTCTTTAGGTGTGAGTGAGAAAAGGGGAATAAGAATAAGAGCAGGAATATGTGTTAAATATGTGTTAAAGACAGCAGTGAGGAGATAAAAAATAATTAAGATTGGGTGAGGAGATGGATAAAAAAGGGAGATAAAGAGATAGAAATTCAAGGAGGATGAATTCCAGTAGGCAGAAATCTATATTGAATGGATTTAGAAAGAAATGAGTCAGTCATTGATATCTGTGGAAAGGTCTGAATGATGTCTTTAGGATCTTTTTGACTTTTGACATCTTTCTGGAGTAGTAGTCTTTGAGTCACGGTCAGGAGAGGTAAACTGGGGAACATCAGCTTGAAAAGATGTTTGATCCTTATTGCTCTGATACCTAACCTGAAATAACAGACCAGTCTCCTACCTGCTTAACCAATGAGTGTGTCTTGTGGGATATGTATCTGGAGCAGCTTCTTTTGTCACTGTGGATTGTGGCTTTAGCCAATTAGGAGAACTGTGGATGAGAAGGCTACGTTGATTAGATGAGTTGATTGATTGGTGTGTGTGGTCAAAGATCCAGTGGAATCATCACTCTGTAAAACGGAAGGTTTGTTTGATGACCTTGATTTAATTTAGCTTAAGTTTCATCCCATGGCTTCAACAAATTTGATATTGTGTGATTAGAGTGCCAGACTGGATAAGAGTGGACTTGTGTTTTGTGGGAGTAAAAAAGACATTGGGAGCTTACTTACTGCATTGGTTAATGAAGTACAGTAGTCATCAGAAGCAAAGCTATGCTATGGTAAAGTCTAACTACTCTGGTATTCAATTTGTCAATTAGTGGGTTGGATTTGATTGTTGATGAGGGAATTACATTTGAGAAATGTGCTGTAAGATAAACGGTGGTGAAAACAGCTGAGGTCAACCAGAATCTTATTGGTGTCCATTGCTTTGGGTACTTTCACAAATTTGAGGCCTTTGTGGAAAAGAGATCTCTTTTTGTGAAAGTGATAGAGGAAGGTTTTGTAACAAGATATTTGTTGCTAGAAGAAGTATTCGGTAAATTTGCATTTTAAGCAGTAGTTAGGTTCCTGACATAGCGTGTATATACCCAAAATCACATACATCAGAACACCCCCCTTAGACCCTGCAATTCCCCTCCTTTAAACAAGTCAGCCATATGTGTATTAGTATGTGTATGAATGTAGTTTAAAGTATTTTGAAAACAGTAATAAAGCAAATACAGTATTGTACAATATACAAAATAGATTAAATAAAATTTAATAACTGCACTTATTATTAATTAGAGACACAGTATGAGACACGTATATAATGAAACACAGTAGATGGATTGGTCTTCAGAACAGCCTTCTCTCCGTCTCTAATTGTACAAATTGTAGATTTCATTCTTGCCACACATACAGTATGTACCAAACTGGTCACTGTCACCCCATCCCTTAACTTCATGAAAATCTCGATTTGTAACTCCAAATCATGCACTTTACTTGTTTTTGGTTTAGGAGCCACACGATAAAGAATGCACCAGCATCCTATAGGGTCTGCAACTAGTTCCCAAAGCATAGCTCAGGTGTGTGTCAGACCAGATTTAAATTGATCAATTTTCCTGCGTCATTTGATTTTTCATTTGTTTTTTCGTCTCTGACTGCATATACATTGCGTCAAAATATTTTGGGTAAAAAGCGACTCTACTGTATTCCGTTGTGGAAGATTTGTAGGTTTGTCCTTACAGGTACAGAGGAACTGACAGTGCTTGGAATATAGGGTTCTGAAAGTGTTTAATAAAATGTTGTGGAGCTGCTTGTTACAAAAATGTTTTCTTTTCTGATAGTGCTGTCGTGTGGTAATATGTTTAAGAGGAAAAAAATATCTGAAAGTAAACTGGTGAAGAAGCCTTTGAGTGTTAGAATTGTGAAAAGTAAGGATTTATTCAGAATGAGCAGTTAAACAAGAATTGGATGACAAAAGTGGAAAATACAGTGGTGTGAAAAAGTGTTTGCCCCCTTCCTGATTTTTGCATGTTTGTCACACCAAAATGTTTCAGATCATCAAACAAATTGAAATATTAGACAAAGATAACACAAGTAAACATAAAATGCAGTTTTTTAATGAAGGTTTTTATTATTAAGGGAAATAAAATCCAAACCTACATGGCGCTGTGTGAAAAGTGATTGCCCCCCCTGTTAAAACATAAATCAACTGTGGTTTATCACATCTTTGGAAAGCTGAGTTCAATTTCTCTAGCCACACCCAGGCCTGATTACTGCCACACCTGTTCTCAATCAAGAAATCACCTAAATAGCACCTGCCTGACAAAGTGAAGTAGACCAAAAGATCCTCAAAAGCTAGACATCATGCTTCTTCATTTGAAAACTGCATTTTGTGTTTAGTTGTGTTATCTTTGTCTAATATTTCAATTTGTTTAATGATCTGAAACATTTGTGACAAACATGCAAAAAAATAAGAAATCAGGAGGGGGGCAAACACTTTTTCACACCACTGTATGTGGAAGTCCATTTAAAACAGAAAATGGGAAGCATGTCTTTAATATGGAGCAAGATATCTAGGCATGTTGTTAAAGCCTATACCTTGGGTTATTTTATGAAATGGCTGAATGAAATCCTTGGATAAAGAAGCCTTATCCAATGACTCTCTCTCATTTATGATCTGATTTACGCCTGATTTATGACCGGCGTCCTGGCCAAATTTCCCATTGGCCCTTACCAATCATGGCCTCCTAATAATCCCCATCTATGAATAGGCTTCATTACTCTGCTCTCCTCCCCACTGATAGCTGATGTGTGGTGAGCGTTCTGGCGCACTATGGCTGCCGTCGCATCATCCAGGTGGATGCTGCACATTGGTGGAGGGGAGTCCCCATTACCTGTAAAGCGCTTTGAGTGGAGTGTCCAGAAAAGCGCTATATAAATGTAAGCAATTGTTATTATTATTATCTTTTTGAGGTTCTTAGCTGGCCAGTACTGGAACTAAAAAGAAAAGGTACTAAATTTCAGATGGAATCATTTCAGAATTGTTGTGGTGATGGCATCTGTAGTAAAATAGGCAAGTTGAAGAAAGGGAAAGGGTCCGGTACATAGAATGAGCTCAAGGTGAAGAAGCAGGTCTGAAAAAGGCTTTAGTAGAAGGCATGGTAGATCATAGTGAGTGGAGCCAGAAGAGATTAAAATAGGAGCTGCTTCAGCACACAAGCTGCAAAGCAAACTACAAACTCCTGTATATGTAGTAGAAATTGTATTTGTCTTAGGTTTCTACTTCAGATTTGCAGCTTGAGCTCTACTTAATAGGAAACTCTGATGGAGAGCAATCAAACAAATGTGCAACCTCCCGACTGAATTTCAACAGGAAGGGAGATGGTGTTCTTGTGAAAAAGATCAAAATACCATTATGTGAAGTGCGATCACAACTGCAAAGAGCTACTTAAAAAACATTAACAGAGCACTAAGCTTGAATTTCAAGTTAATATCTCTCCAAGATATACGGAACAATTCATGAGATCTTTTAATCAAGTAAATTAAGCGGTGATCTGCAACTTCAGATGGAAGATATCTATACCCTGTGGCAGGCTTTGATACTTTTTCAGAAGTGTGAATCTCATTTGCTGCCTCCTTCACTAGGCTGTCTCTCATTCAGTTCACTTTCAAGGTCACCTGCTAATGTTAGTTCCAGCCAACTCTATGTTCTCTGCCCCTCAGTGTTGGCTCTTACAGGGCTGATTAATGAGCTAGAGAAGTCTGATATGGAAAGGCTGAAAAGGTTCAGCATAATTTGTGACTTATCAGCATCACTTAAGCTTTTCCATCTACTTGTGTTAAAAAAGCTCATGTCTCTCTACTCTCTGAATATGCCTCATATACTGAATGTGATTTTAAATTTTGAGCTGTTTTGTATTTAAAGAGGCTAAAAGTGATTCTTAATTTTTAGTATTTAACCTGTAATTAACATTTGCCTTTCAATGAATAAATTAGCTACTGTACATTTAATAAAATTGTGTACTGTGATGGACCTGTGAGTCCACCCTACATGTTGGGTGAAGTCAAAGTTTGAACCCTGTGCTTGCTGAATAGGGTTGCTGGTAAGTACTGTAACTTACTGTAACTGATTCACATGTTTATGTAATCTAATCAGCTGTCTAGCCTTTGAATACTGTTTATTTTTTGTGTGTATTTTAAATCTTAATTTATTATTCAAATTATTAATTTGATAAAGATGTTAGTATCCGATTAATAGAGTTCTAATTTCTAATGTTGCTTTTCTGTTAGATGAGAGGTGTGATTTGGGTTTTTCAATAGTCCCACTCTTCTCAATTGCTTTTATATTGTAATTCCCATCTATCCAAAGCAAGGATATTTTTGTGGAAGATAGTGTTATAGGTTCTGTAAAAATCCTGTAAAAACAGGAAAAAGATCAGAAGTAAATGAAGGGATAACAACTCTGCCATGGCATGACCAATTAGCGAATACTGCTTCATGGTCTTGGAATGCTCTTTGCCTTTGCTTTTTTCCTGTTTCCTCAAATGCATAATTCTCATATTATTGAAGTATTTTCAAGAGGATATTTTAAAATAGACATAGACAAAATGTCTAGTAAATTATCTACCTTTTCTAGGGGATAAAATACATTTTTATTAATTGATTATTTCAATTAAGGAGTTCCTTAAGTACTAAACAGAAGACATACTCCAAGATCAAAGGCAAAAGCCTTTTTAACACTTGGAAATGGGAGTCACACATTAAACATCTTTAAGAACATGGTGTATGTGTTTTGTATATGTTGTTTAGTGTTTTTAATTTATTTACTGTTTAAAATGTTATGTACAGTACACATTACTTCAGTTTAATGTAAAGAATGATCACCTTTTATTTAGTACATCACCTGTTTAATAAGAAATAAAGATTTTTGGGGGTATACTGTATGAGGTAGTTCCCTGTATTGGCCCGTGACCGTCGAAAATGTTGGAATCTGGATTATTCATTGCGGAATGAATGATCTACTGTATATCAGTGAAGCTAAAACAGGATTGGAATAACACAGAAAAAAAAACTCCTTTTGGTAATATTGAGTCAGATATCAGCCAAACATAGTTACTGTCCAAAGAGTCACAGGCTTAAGTTGTCAGCCAGGATCAAACTATCCATTTCTATCCCATTGCTAAGTAAAAGAACGGTTTGTTTCTATGTCCTATATGACATGAAGAGCGATTATATAATGTAATCTTGCAGCCATGGTTTTCAAGTGGATTTATCAAGAGTCCAATTAATTTACATGTTGTCTTTTTCAAAGGCAGAGGTTAGCGGGAAGCTTCAGTAACAGTCATGAATATGATATTCCAGTTCAGAGTAATCAAAGAGTGACATGACATTCATTAAGGGTAACAAATTATGTTAACAGCATCACTTTGCCATATTATCATCTTGTTCGAATAAACATGTATGACCTGTTTGCAAGGCTCCCGGCTTTGATGTCCTCTCATTGCATAACAATAAAGTTAACCATCAGTGTTTGCTAATGCAACCTTTTGAGCAGTCTTTTCAACATCATGACTCAAAGAGTGGGGAACTTAACAGAATGGCTAGGTGTATATTTCCATGAGGTTGATGTTAATATTTATCCAATGTATCAGTAGATGTACAGTAATGGAATCAATATGTCATATTTATTGAGCTGATTTTTATTTACATAGCTGGTTATACAGTATACTGTAGATATTTTTCATGGTAATAGTATAATATGCACACAAAGTATGTAGTAATTAAATTATACCACTGTGTTACTAATTAACAAAAAGTATCCAAAATGTCTGTCATGACACAGCTGATTTGTGCTGTAATTCACAGAAATGGGGGTGTTTTTGTAGCTGATGACATAGCTATCTATGGATTTTACTCTGAAATTCCCTGTGAATCCCCGCATTTCTCAAAATAAAGTTACAGTAATTTTAGCTTTAACAAACCATATTTAAAAGCCATCTCCAAATAACACAGGCTGTCATGGTGTTGCAGTGCACTTGAATGAACGTCCTCTTTAAGAAAGTACTACAGTGAAGATTAAGCTGGCTGGCTCCCGGAGGTGCACTAATCTGGAGCTGTTACTTGGTCGCCAGCCTGTGTCCTCCAGTCAGTGGCATATCACCTACTGCTGTTGTACCATCTGGCCCTCATTTCATGCGCTCACCTGGGCTGCAGCCCACGAAGTTATGCAATCGTCTCCTGTTTAACTGTCGTCATGCTTGCTACACCTGTTCCTGTGTTAGTGCAGAGGAAGGGATTTTCACAGTGGTAAACAAGTTCTGTCTGCACCGCCAGCACAGAGACAGAAAGAATGATGTACTACAACAAAACATACCATGGTGCCACACAGTCACTCATATCACCGATGTTTGCTGATACTTAAATGAGTTGAGATTGTACATCTTCAAGAGGTTCAGGTATCTGTACTTGAGTGATGAAGCAATTAAGACTACGAAAACATACCTGTATTCATGCCAGTGCCTGTGGTCTTCTTTCACAGATAAAGTAGATCTTCCCAACAGCACCAATGTAGAAGTGGAGGTTACACCTCCCATGCAGAATGGAAATGTGTTACATGGGATCGAGGCTGAAGGCCAGGTAAGTCATTTCTTCTCACTGTCTATGGATATATTAAATATATAGTACGACTTAAATTATCCTTAATAGCTGTGGAAGAAGCTATCTTGCAAAATTGAATTTGCCTTACATGAGCCATGGAAAACACAAAAGTTGCAAAATGAAAATGCTCCAAAGCCAGACTAGGATTGTGATCGACGATTATGACTAGCATGTACAGTATGTGTTTAACTGAGATGAGGTGCTGCTTGTACCATGTATCAAAATGATTATGATCTGAAGGACAACTAGTAAGTACAGTATACACCCTTTCTGTTCAAAATACAGCAGCAAAAAACAAAAACAGTTGCCTTAACAGCAGGGAATTGCACGACTGTCTGGTAAGAAATGGATTTAACTTTTTCCATCCATCCGTTTTCTAACCTCCAATTCAGGGAGCAGGAGCCTGTCCCGGCAAGTAATGTGCGCAAGGCTGGTATACACCCTGGATGGGATGCCAGTCATTCACACACAGATATACACACACTCAAGCTAGAAACAAATTAATCTACAAGTATGTCTTTGGAACTCTGGGAGGAAACCAGAGAACCCAGTAGAAACCCACAGGAACCCAGATCTTACAAACTCCGCCAAGATAGCACCCAAGGTCAGGAATTAAATCCATGGCCCCAGTTCTGTGAGGCAGCAATATTAACTACTGCCCCTCAGTGCTGCCCTGAGATTTAACTTTTCCACCCATCCATTTTCTTCCTGCTTCTTCCAGTTCGACGTCACGGGGGAACCTGTGCTTATCGAAACAAAAGCAAAGACACAGACATGTACACTCTCACCCCAGGACCAGTTTTCTCAGAAGCCAGTTAATCAGTATGCCTTTAGACTGTGGGAGGAAACCCATGCAAACAGGTGGAGAACATACACACTTCACACAAACAGCACACCAGGTCCAGAATTGAACCCAGAGCCCCAGCGCTGTGTGGCAGCAATGCTCACCATTGTGCCACCAGGCCACTGGGCTACCCCCACTTAACTTCTTAAATATTTTAAAATTTCTCAGAATCATCTAACTCTTACAAAGGATTTGATATGCACTGAATATGGTATTTTAACAACTAAAAAGGTGCACATTTTTACAGATGTTTGTCATTAAGCTTTTTGCCTTTCATACAGGGCTGAATTATGATTTTATTTTATCTTATTATTGCTCCCAGTTATTCATATCGAAGTCATTGACAGTGGGCTTTCATATACTGGCTCCATCCTGTAGCCATTTTTGGAATCATGCACTTTGCTTTGTACCAGCTGCTCACAGATCTGTGGAAAGCATCCTAATGGTATTTCCATTATAAATGATAAGCTGAGGTTGACCCCCTGCTCTGTTTCCTCTGCTGTCTAGGTAACATCTAGCAAACATGCTAACAGATGGCAGATGGTCTGATGTAAATTTCAGATTTGTGACTGTGTTTCCAAAGTCATGCCAAGGAAACGAAACAGTGTATTCAGCATGACTATAAAACCACATTATTTTGATCCTGAGCAACTAATCCACAAAATTCTTCTGCCCACAGTGCCAGTTTGAACCTACCTGTAGGCTGGAACACTCATTGATCGCAAACAAAATGGCAATTGTACTGTAGTTTCCTGAGTCCTGCTATGAATGGATTTGTAGAATTACCAGGGAATCATCAATTTCTTGGACAACATTGACTGTTTTTAGGTTATAGGGAAAGCATGAGTCTTTTCATATTCATAACTGCACTACAACAACCATTATATCCCCGAATTATTTTGTAAGACTTTGACCTTCATTTAATCTGTTGTGTGTTTGCAATTACTAAAAACCCAGAACAAAGCAAACAAAGCAAATGTCAGTTGCAGTCTCCATTTTTCAGCACTTCAGAAGTTATTGTAAAAAATCTTGGGTTCATTTTCAAAGAAGTGATATTCTGTGGAAGCAAACCCGTTTTCTATATTTTTGTATTTTTGATAGAAATACATTAATAGAAGTGGATTCCTAATGATGAAAATAGGACAGAGATGGATAAGATCAGAAAATAGATCTTGAGGTTGAATTCAGAAAGCGAGAGCAATATACAGTAATTGGTTTAGAGCCCATTGTCTTCCAAAGTCTTACTGCGTCATTCATTTCATCCTTGCAGCAATACAAAGACATCAATGTTCTCCATTTGGATATTTTCTGTTACTCTCAGACAAGATTTCCAGCTCAGGAGAATTCACCTGTTATGATCAGTTACAGTGCTAATGAAAGTAATAAAGTAATAAAGCTTTCAGGCAGTAAAAAGTCATGGTGATGCTTCTATGCTGAGACAGGAAAATGACTTTCAAGGCAGAAAGAGCAGTAAATAATACACTAAATCTGAAAAAATGAGAAATGATATGCATACGAGGAGTCCATTTAGCACATTTAGCTTGTATAGATGTTAATAGCAAATTGATCTGTGTATCTTGTCAATTTATTGAACAAAGAAGTGTTATCAGCTTCAACAACATAGCTTGTTCCAGACCCTTATTACTCTTTAGTGAACTGTCCATTTTTGTAACACACATTTTAGTTTTCAGTGTATATAAGTGACTTCATTTTTTAACTGCCAGAGGGATATGAGCTTTGTAGTTACACCACTGTTCTTGTCAAACACAACTGCACTGTTGTAATGTCTAGACCTGTACTGTAATTTGGAAATGAGACATAAAATCTATTGCTTGCAGTTTAAGCTATTGATTGGACCTGAGCGAAATGGAAGCAAGTTAGATTTGAGGAATTTCTAGCTGACTTCTTTAGGAATTCCATCACACTTCTCTTATTCATTCTTCTTTATTTCTGTTATTACCAAGTTGTGCCAACTATAACCTGCGACACAGCCCTTTAACTTTCTCAAAGTTGTCATTCTTGCTTCTGAGCAGCATAGAAGAACTCTTGAATTTGCCAAAAAGAACTACTAGAGGTCTTTTTAAACAAAAGCAATTGTCTTCTTTTTATGACTGCACTAATAGAAGGCTTTTTTCTAGCTACCCAACCATAGAATCACTTCTCTTTTGTTTCAGTTTCATTTGCAACTCTCACTCTACATTATCCATCCATCCATTTTCTAACTGCTTCTTCCAGTTCAGGGTCACAAGGGAGCTGGAGCCCATCCAGACAAGCAACGGGCACAAATCAGAGTTCACCCTGGACAGGACACCAGTCCATCTCAGGGTAGACGCTCAGACACAAACATTGACTCACAGCTAGGGCTTATTTTCCCAGAAACCAGTTAACCTACCAGTTTTGTTTGTGGACTGTGGAAGGAAACTGGAGCACCTGGATGAAACCCACACAAACACTGGCAGAACATACAAACTCCATACAGATGGCACCTCCAGTAGGGAATTGAACCCAAAGCCCCAGCACTCTGAGACAGCAATGTTAACCACTGTGCCACACTATATAGTAGCTGGATCTTTATTTTCAGAATACTTAGCCTTTTAAAGTACAGAAAATCTGTTTAAAACCTTACAGTCGAGAAATGTCTATATGATATAAAGCAGAAGAAAGGTCCTTTTGATAAAAGCTGCATGGATATACATTTAATGGAAATGGTTTCATCTTTGCAAAATTAATATTTGAAATTTTAACTGAATAATTGTTTCAGAGTATAATTTGAATGCACTGCTCTTTCACTTTGCTTACTTCACGCTGTAGTACCCTGCAGAGTGCTATAACATTTCAGTCAGGAAGCTGCTATACACCAGCAGGATTATGAAAAGCATTTGCCCTTTTGAGTTTGAAAGAAATGTTGCATATTAATCAGTTAACGTGCAGAGGAATATGTCAAAAAGACTACTTCTGCTGTACTATGAGAAGGTGAAAGCTTAGAGTCTGAAATATTTCCAAAACAACTCAGTAGGCAATGACTGTGACATTTTCTAAGACAATTTCAAAGTTTCTAAAAAGGTTTTGGATATTAAAGATCAGAGTCGTGAGTGTTATGGTGTTAATGGTACATTCTAGACACATGGCCCTATAAACTTAAGTGATTGCTGTGTGGTGTGTCCAACAGTAGCTTAAACTCAAGTATGTAAATGGCATTCCATAGACTTAAGATGACATTACAAACAGACCACATACTGTAGGTGTTCTTCCATTTAATCTGTGAAGCAATTACCAGTGGTTTTATTCAGAGGTGGTTAATGTTGAAGCGTATGTGTACTCAGTTCATCCCAGAATTGCTCAGTCAGGTAAATATTCAACAACATCTAATGCAAATCTCAGAACATGGTCAGTGTAACACTAGATTAACACCCTTAAATTGGCTTTCATGGTCTTAATACTGTTATACCACCTCTACCACAATGATACTGCTGCTTTAGGCAGATTGTAATGAACCCTTTGTGCTTCCTCCTGAATACATGTGCTTGCCAAGGCAGACACAGAAGTGTCCATGGTGCACTTTCAAGGAAATCACCACATAGGACTAAACCTATGTGGTGATTTCCTGGTGATTGATTATTTCCTTGTGTATTACTTATGCACAAGGAAATAATCAATTCAAAAATCCCCAGACTGCATACAGGTCTTCATCATCAACAGACAGACCTTATTATAAGGAACAGATCATTTAAGGTTTCATTATATGTCTTTGCTACGTCTCATCAGCTGTTCAAGACCTACAGCTATTAAAAGCAGAACACAACCTCGGGAAGAAGAGTTTTTAACAGTATTTAGGTCATAATGTAAAGAAAAACTATGGAGAATATTTGTTAGAAAGGCAGGAGGAGTAATAGGAATGTAGCCAATGCCTGCAGGACTGAGAGGTAAATGCCAGTATGCTGCAGCAGGGTCTCCGCTAATCACCAGCATGTCAGAAAAATTATCTGATCACACAATATATTATAAAAATGTGTCCAGGTTACTATATAAAAAACTATTTTAGAGATAGGAGATAGAATAAGTGATAGATCTGGATCTCCAGAATAACTAGTCCCTGCATTTTTAGAGGTTTGAAAACTCACTGCTGGAACTGATG